GGTCAATTGTCAGCCATGTTTCAGAAGTGAAATAACATGAGGATTAAAAAATAGTGACCTGACTTGGCAAACTGGAGGTTTTTGTTAACACTGACAAGTCTGAATGGAGTGTTGGAGGTGGAAGATAGAGTAGGCTGAGGAAGGAGTGGGAAGTGAGGAAGTAGAGACAGGAAAGAGTAGAAAAGTCTTTCAAGAAGTTTGTCTGTGAAGGGTAGCAGAAAAATGGGGTAGCTTGGACGAGATATGAGCTTCTGGATTTCCTTTTTAAGCTAGAAGATACTGAAGATTGTTTTATGCTAATGGGAATGAACGCAGATGTCAGAATGCCCAAAACATATGGGTTGCCTTAAAGGCATTACTGCCTGGAAAAGGGATGCGATGCATTCTCACGTGTTATATCAGTCATGCTCTTGACATATGGCAGTGTGGTATTACCTCCCTTAGCACTGCACTGGTTGGCTCTGAGAAGTGATTAACCAGCAGGGATTAATCTACAGGTTTGGGCTAACAGAGATCCTCTTGCAGAGCTCTGGATCAGTGGTTTTCAAACTTCGGTGTGTGTCCAAATCGCCTGGGGAGCTCATACTGCTCACTGGAGCCAGGCTGGTGAAGTAGGACAGGGCTAGGGCCTTTGCATCTTGGCCAGGTTCCCCAGGTGATTCTGATAGCCTAGAACCACGGTGTTAGACCAGTGGTTCTCAGGCATCGTTCGCAGAGTCACATGGGGAAAGGGGAGGCGGTGCTTGTTAAAACACAGACTGCTGTGCCCACCCCCAGAATTTCTGATTCAGTAGGTCTGGGGTGGGACCTGAGAATTTGCATTTCTAACAAGTTCCGGGTGATACTGATGGTGCTGGTTGAGGAACCACACTTTGAAAACCACTGTTCTGTGCAGTGACGCTGGCTTGCCAGAGTTCCCAAAACTAGAATCAGACTCCCTTGGATGATTTTTTTAAAAGGAATTTTTACAATACTACTTTAGAGAAATCAGAATATTAGAAGACATTTGACTGTAAAGATGATTTAATTGAATATGTTATTAAGATGTATTAATTACCAGTCTGATATACAGCAGTGATCTGAGTCTGGCGGGTGGCGGATAAAGGGTAGAAAGGCCAGAAGGTTTTGCTATTCCACCTGCTTCATACACATGCCTCTTCTCCCCCACCACATGTGGAACTCTACTGTGAAAACTTGTGACAGAGAGTTTTCTTTTGTTATTCTAATTCAGATGTATTAATTGTGCTTCTAGATTTATGAGTCATTTAGGATTCCATGATTCATCTTGGTTTCTGATAAGTAATAAGAAAACCATTTTGATTTGGGCCACAGTACTCTTATTTTTAGTTGTTGAATATAGGAGAACTTACTTTGAGAAGTGTTTTCAATTTACTTGAACTGGGAAATATTTTTTTATCTTGATTAAAACAATGCCTTTATGATTACATATTTAGATAATTTTACAAGGCAAAGTATTGCCCAGCGAGAAGAAATTAGCATTCTTGGTGCAACACTCAACGACCTGGCTAAAGAAAAAGAATGCCTGCAAGCATGTTTGGATAAAAAATCTGAGAATATTGCATCCCTTGGAGAGAGTTTGGCAATGAAAGTATGTTCTGAGAACTGTGATTTTAAAAGAAATGTTTGAACTTGAATCTGAATAAAATAATAGCATTTTCTCAAAGATTTCTAGAGAGCTGAAACTGTAAAATCTGATTTTGGAAATTTTAAGATATTTAAGATAGTCTTTGGAAATGTGCAAATACACTAGCTAATATTTTTAAATTGATTTTTCTATTGTCAATTTGTGATTAACATTCGCTGACAATGATTGATTCAAAATGTGAAGCATGACAACAAAGTAATGAGACTGATTTATTTTAAAAAAAACATGTCAGAACTTACATTTCCAAGTAGTCATCTTGGGAGGCAATATGTTTATTCCACTAAAACTGCCTTTGTAATTGTATTCAGAACTAGGGGCACATTTTTACATCACACTCAGCCTTTGAGGGTAGATCATATGGAACTGGTGAGTTAAAGCTGGATCATAACCTCCATCCCACAATTTTTGTTATTAAAAAAAAAAATGATGTCCAAAAGACAGATATTGATGCTCTTGTATAGCTCTTAAGTGGATTCTGAAGATAATTTCTAAACTGTTCTCCACAAATGTCTTAAGAAAAGGCAGCATCATTGGAATAAGATCTTTTCCCCATCTAAGGGAACCACTTCATTTATTTATTCATTCATTCATTTACATTATGTAGAAATTGAGGGTGAGTGGACCTTCCTTCTAGAAGCACACAGGGGAAGAGACAAAAGAGATGCTATTATGATGGAATGCAGTAAGTGCCACAGTCATGTCTGCATAATGAATTATTGTAGTGTGGCAGAAAGGTGCTTTATTCATCCTGGGGCTTGAGCTAGGGGAGGAGGACGATCTGGGAAACCCTCCAGGATAATTTACAATGTTTCTGGAGAATCATACTTTCAAGATGAAGTTCTATTAATAAAACTAAGTGCTTTTTAGGATTATGAGCTATATTTCAAGCTACACCAAATTATGCCTTTCAAAAGCACTACAAGTTCAATTAGCTCTTCAGAAGTAATTTAAAAATGTATTAAATAATATTTCAAAAACGTGTTAATATTCCATTTTCAATAATATTTTCTGTTTGGGTTTTTCCTCCATTGATTTGTGCTTTTAAAGAGGTTTCACTTTTGAACTGCTTTGTTCATGGGTATTTTAACCGTACTCCGACATTGTTACTGCCAGATGTGAAATCTGCTTCATTCTGCTAGAAAGCGTACTGGGCTACTGGAGCTGAAAAGCCCCTGGAGAGGAGCACATGAATAAAGGAAGATAACACACACGCACACGCACGCACGCACGCACACACGCACACGCACGCACACACACAGTTATGTCTCTAAGGCGGCGAGGACAGACTGGCTGGGAAATGCAGGCTTGGTTTTTCGTCACGTTACTTGGTTATAAAGATTTGAAAATTCACAGAGCAAGGTGAATTCTAGGTATGATTTAGTGAAGGGATACTTTTCCTGCTTTTTAAAGAGCTAATGTTGGATCTAAGTAGCCGTGTATGTGCAGCTGGTCCAGGCTCAGTGAGAGTTTTACAGGAAGGAGACTTGACAGTGGTGTTGGTGGCATTACGAGATTCACACACCCTTCATCCTTGACTAACTCTGTACTTCCTCTCCCTCCCCGCTACCTCGGAAGGGGGCATATCAGTAGTTTCTTGTTTTATCCTTTTGCTCTAGGCCTACTGCTTACCTTCTCATTAGCTCACACCTAGATATTGACAGCTTTTACATTACAGGTATTTCTTTTGCAGCAGCTTTGTGAAGATGCTATTGATGACCCATAAAAATTATATCCTTAACTTGATCAAAGTCATTATTCTTAAGAACTAAATTTAGTTATACGTGGTTTGCTTCCCTGAGTTTTCTAACGTGAAGATGTGAGAAAGTGCAATCAGTCCTGTTCCTAGTATAGAACATTCCAACGCTAAACCAGTGGTCTGCCTCTAAAACCCAGGGGTGGAGGGTTCTTACGGTGCTAGGTGACCGCACAAAAATGTTGTCCCCAAAGTATGCGTTGTACTGATCTCGTATCAGTACACCTAAGCGTAGCCTTTACTTTCATGAGGATAATCTCTTTTTACCCAAAGTGTAGAAAAGAATAGGGTATAAATGTTTAAAAACAAATGGAATTCAAAAGGGAAGGGAAAATTTATTTTTGTTTGTTCACTTTTAACAGAAATAATAGTTTAAGGTAATTTTTTATTTAATACTTATGTTACTTTTCAAGGAAAAGACCATTTCAGGCATGAAGAATATCATTGCTGAGATGGAGCAGGCATCAAGGTAAGTCATTCATTCAACAAATAGTTGAGCACTAATTCAGGGCAAAGCACTATGTCAGGTGCAAAGGTAGTAAGAAACAAGGGATTTTCTGTTAAATGAATAAGGAAACAATTCCAATACACAGTAAGAACGCTCTAGTGTTTGAAGGAGGCCTAAAGTCCAGAGGAGATGGTGTTTGTCAGGTACAGAGGGGAGGTATGGACATTTCAGCTGGACAGAATAGCATGAATCAAAGAACCACAGATCATGTTAAAGACTAGGTGAGTGTTGCTGGAACCCGAAGAGGGGAGAAGTGCAGGGAGGACAGGCTAAGGAGGCAGGCAGAGGCCTGTACTGTAGACGAGTGAGTTTTGATTTCATCCTCTGGGCAATATGAAATCAGTAAAGAATTTGAAGCAGATTTTTGTGTTACAAAGATTGCCTAGGCAGAAGAGGTGGTGAGAGATTGGGGTTATGGGGGTAAGGGCAAGTGAGGTGCTTATGAGGGAGAGAAATGTAGGAAAATGTCAGGTTTCTGTCCAGAGATAAATACTGGACATGATGAAAGTGTGAGGAGAAAGATGATTTTACTTCTGAATTTGAAGAGCCTCTGAGACCTTCCTCTGGAGATTTCTAGTAAGCAGTTAAATATAAGAGTCTTGTAGAGCAACGAAAAGGCCTTCTGGAGATACTGATTTTGGAGTTATCTGGGTATAGATGGGGTTAGGAGCGATGGATATGGACATGGTTTGTCTGAGAGAGTGGGTAGAATGGGAATAATCAAGAGGCTAATGCCGTTTTTAAGAGGGCAGAGAAAGAGGAACCTGCAGAAGGAGACTAAGTGGTAGCAGCTGGAGGTAGGAGGAGGGCCTTCCTGCGCTCAGTGTGAGGAGTTCTGAAGCACTTGGCAAATCGCTGAGTGTTGTGCATACTTAAGCATCCTCTCTCGATGAAATGTTGGCAACAGAGAGAAACTAATTCACTGTCTTTGGCAGTGTTTATTCCTACAAATTTCAATGCATTTAAAACCTCTTTGAATGTCTTCATGTTAACTGTCCATCTTCTGTCTTGTGAGAATTTATTATTCTGTTTCAGTAAAATGTCTCTTATGTACTATTTGATTTGTGGAATAGACAGTCTACTGAAGCCCTAATTATGTGTGAACAAGACATTTCCAGAATGCGTCGACAATTGGACGAGACCAACGATGAGCTGGCTCAAATTGCCAGGGAAAGAGATATCTTGGCTCATGAGAATGACAACCTCCAAGAACAGTTTTCTAAAGCTAAACAAGAAAACCAGGTATGCTTTTTCCTGGAATCTTTTTCTCCAAGAAAAACATACATGTAATTCTTCTGAGGCACAGCCTTCATTTCAGTTTGCAGAAAAGCTCAGGTATTAGAACACAGTCTTTTTTTTTTACTTTTACAGCAAAGAATACTCCATCCTTTCTAAATGAAATTTACAGCCATATTAAAGAAGAGAGAGAAGCGGGGGGGGCAGGATAAAAGATTTGTATTTAACTGTAAAAAGGATACTGAAGGATAAATATTTGAATATGTCAACAAATGAGGTTAAAAACCTGTGGATGATTTCAAGAAAGGGGTAGATACATTTGATGTTGTTAGTTGCTGTCAAGTCGATTCCAACTCATGGTGAATTGCTCCATAGGGTTTTCAAGACTGACTTTTCGGAAGCAGATCACCAGGCCTGTCTTCCAAGGCACCTCTGAGTGGGCTTGAACCGCCAACCGTTTGGCCAGTAGTCGAGTGCTTACCAATTTGTGCCACCCAGGACTCCTAGATACATTTGATAGACAAAGTATCATTCTGTTTAAGTATGGTGTATGAATTATGTCACATTTTCTGGTTCTTTCTAGCTCTGCGATTTTTTTTTGTTTGTTTAGGAAAGTTTCTTTTATAATTACTCCCTCTCTAAACACTGTATTTCAGCTTTACCCCCAGTTCTCATTTCCAATATCATTATTTTAACTTGAACATTAAAAAATTTAATTTGGAAGCTTCTCCCCACCCCCAAATTTTTTAATCCCAATGATTTCCCCCACTTTGGTTCCATTCTCAACGCTAAATTTACATCCTAAAATTCATAAAATTTACATCATAAGATTTAAAAAGTTAAATATTTTTAATTTACATAAACAATGACAAAGATGCAACATTAATTATAAAAAAAAAAAAACCAAACTGAGACGTTAAAGTGCTTTGTTTAAAAGTTAATGAATAATGAGATCCTGGAACAGAAAAAGGACATTGCATATAAACAAAGGGAATTTGAAAAAAATACAGACTTTAGCCAGTAATATAACAATGTTGGCTCATTAATTGTGACAAGTGTACCATGCTAATGTAGGATGTTAATAACAGGGGGAACTCACTGTGGGGTATATGGGAACTCTTTGTACTATCTTTACAACTTTTCTGTAAATCTAAAACCATTCTAAAATAAAAAAAATATTTTAAAAAAGTTAATGAATAGCAATAAAAACCAACTGGTGAATTTATAGCATCTACCTTTGCATACTCTATTTACAGCAACAACAAATAGGCTATAGGTAGATATAACACTGTCATGTTTTTACCGCCCAGAGTTAGCCAGGGTTAATATTTTGGTTTTTTAAAACTGATGTTTAATACGTTTTAAATTTTTTATACTGATTTTTTACGTGCACTTTTTTATGTTGGGATAAAACCACGTACTATTTTATAGCACACTTTTTTCCTACACAAGGAGGTAGTAGAGCAGAATGTTTAAGATTCCCATGGGTTTGCATCTCACTTCCTGGCTGTGTGATTAAATAGGCTAACTTCTTCAAACCTCAGTTCATCCTTTGTAAAAACGAAAAGTAAATGAGAATATGTCTGTAAATCGTTTAGCATGATGACCAGCATATCACTCAATAAGTATCTTGTAGCTACTGTTAGCTTAATGTAATATCATAAGCATTTCCCTTAAAACTTAAAACATGGTCCAGTGTAGTTTTTTTTACCTTGTTTGGGTTATAGACCCAGAGGTAGAAGAGAGATCCAACCTGTAGACCACAGGTTAAGAACCTATATTGTAGAAGGTTTGTGATAGAAATCTTAAGAAATTTTATCCTTAATCCCACAGTTGTTAACAAATTGGGGTCTTGAGGTGTACTTAGTGTTTTATCTTGATTTTTTCACTTAATAGAAATGGACATTTTCCTGTTATCATAAATTATTCTGAACATTTCTCATAGATGCATAATATTCCATTAGGTGGTTATACCACTGTGTAGGTATATTGTGATTTCCTGCATCATTCACCTAATGTATTTCTAATTTGTCACTACAATAATTAATGCCTTATGAATACTTTTAAATTAAATTTTACTAGTTTTCATTTAAAATTGAATCAAAGCTTATGAGATTTTTAATTAAAAAAAAAAAACTTTTTAAATGAACATGGTCAAGTATAATGAATCCCCATGAACCCATCTCCTACCTTCAACAATAACAACATTTTGGTCTCTCTTATTTTTATGAGATGTCTGGCCATGACTTTTTGAAAATTTACATTTCCTCCAACAGTATATGAAAATGCCCATGCCTCGCCATAACTGAATACTTTTAATCCCTGCTAATTTGATAGGCAAAAGTATTTCATAGTTTAAATTAGCATTTCTTTAGTTACTAGTAAAGTCACTTTTGTCAAATATCATCCATTTGTGCTTCCTGTTTGTGAATTGTCTCTTTTTGTCCTTTACCCATTTATTGTTTGGCCCTTGTGTTTGTTTTTAATGGAAGTTTTGAAATACTTAGTTTTATTAGTTATATTGATTTTACATATTAAGTATATAAAGTATATTTTTTAATTGTCATATTTGTTGCAAATATGTTTGTTTTTAACATACAGGAATTTCTGTTTTTTGTAGTGAAATCTAGCTGTCTTTTTTTCTCATAGGCATTGTCCAAAAAATTGAATGATACTCATAATGAACTAAATGACATAAAACAGAAGGTCCAAGATACTAATTTGGAGGTTAGCAAGCTGAAGAATATATTAAAGGCTGAAGTATGTATATATTTTTTTCTTTTTGCTCATGATGATGGTGTTAACCTAAGAGTTCTCACTAAAGTTCGTAATCAGTTACACTCATAGGGGCAGGTGAATCAAATAATACATAGCATATCTTAGCATTGACAGTGATGGATTAGCTATATACTTAGAATGTCACCAGTGTCTAGAAAGGTGATTCAAGAATCTGCCCCCTTGTCATGCCTATGTGACCACTGTAGACAAGCAGAATCCCCCACTGGATGAAAGAGCAAAGGGCCCAGATCTTCTTGGGCTCTCTTACACCTGAGAATGGTGGAGCTTTCAATTCCAGACCTGTGACTAAAAAGCTCCACTTGATTGTATAGCAGATTAGAATTGATGACCCTCTTGTGGGGCCATCTGCTTCTTAGGACCAGAGGGCAGATGACTCTCCTCTGCACTTTGTTAGCAACCATTTGACCAGGCCATGTGTGTGACATCAGATGATTCCAAATAAATGTGGGTGCAAATGTGGCGACCCTGGAATAAACAGCTTGACCAAGAATGTTAGGTATGTCCACTAGGTAAAATATGATCTAAAATAGTGTAGCTGGGTTGATTCTTATAGTAGGCTTACTGTTATCAACATACCATTTAAGCCATTCACAGGAATTTTTTTCCCCAAACTGTTTTCCTTATTTTATTTAATGTATCATTTAATATCAGTCCACAAAAACATACTTTGAGCATTTATTTAGAGTATGTGTATAGGATTTTTAGGGGCTTTTGGATTCCTAAATTGCACCCCTTACTTTTGGGCAGCAAGGCAGCAGCCGTATTTATATGGGCAAAGCAGGTGGTTTCCTGCATTTCTTGACTTTAAGGTGTCAGCACTGTAAGATCATGAATGGAGAGAGGCTTTGGAGTCAGGAAGGTCTGGTCCCTCCTCTCACTGTGGCTTATGCAGGCTACTCAACCTCTCTGAGTCTTGGTTTCTTCCTCTGTAATTGGGAAGAGTGTCCAAGTAAATGCGATGTGATATTCAAAACACCTAGCACAGTGAACCATTTAAATCTGTTCTGGAACAGAGCAAATATAAATTAGCATCTGGAACAACATTTAACATAGTAAGCTTTCAGCCAGTTTTAGGCACTTCCTCTTTCTCCTAGTCTGTCACATTACATTAAATTTCACCTCTAGGGAATGGGGCTTTTGCAGATCACACATCAAGCTTCTCAGCATTCGCATCCTAGTATAAGTCCATTTGTAAGATTGCCTTTCACAACATAACTAAATGGATCCCGCCCCTCTCCCTCCCCTGAGACCGTGAACCACGAGTCTGTTTTGGCATGGGTAGACAGTCAGGAAGTGGAGTACTTCATTCATTCATTCATTCACTAGTCAGTGTGCTAGGTGCTGGGGTGACGGAGATGAAAAACTGAGAGGAGACAGAATGGCACCCCAGGCAGTGGGAATAACATCAGTAAGGTGTAGGAGAAAACAGGAAGTCCTGTAGCTGGAGTGGGGTGTACAGGTGGGTGCTAATCGAGAGGTAAGGAGGACCTTCTTTGAATGCTTTTCAGGAAGCCTTCGTTAGAACTTAAGGAAGTTATTTAAGATTTACCTTTTAGAAAGATCATTCCGGAGATGCTGGGAAGAATAAGCAGAAGGATAACAAAATAAGAAGGAGGGAGAGCAATTAGGGGAGGCTGTTGCCGTATTCCGGCAAGAAGTGCAGAGGATTCCAGCTGGGGCGGCAAGGAGCTTTGCCCAGGTGGAGCATTGCAGTGAGCCCTTTGGACGGCTAGAGGGAGCTGTGGGGTACAGGGGTGGGGGTGGTATAATAAAGAGGTAAAGAGATCCTGAAAGAGGGGATTGGAGAATACCAAAGAACAGTTTCACCTTCTTCATAATTTTGCCCTTCTGTGGTCTCACACTGCTCTGGCTGCTATGAGAAGATACAAAACAGGGCAAAATACGGTTTCTAGGTGCAAGAGGGAGGGGAACTGGATGGTTGGAGGGCAGGAGAGGTGCTTTATAGCAGCCTGAATGTATTATCACCAAGCCAAAAAACTAAGTTTAATATTTTAAAAAATGGTTCCTGTCTTCAAGGAATCCAAGGTTTTATAGGGAAGACAGTGCACCTGCACCTAACTGCATAAAACTGTAAGGCAGCCCTAAGAGAATGACATAGACAGTAAGTACCACAGAGAGTTAAAGAGGGTGAAGACTGATGCGGGTAAAAGTCGGTTTATGTATATTGTACCGGGTACCTAGCCAAGTACATACTCTGTGTATAACTTTGGTTTCTAGTATAATAGTGGGGGACACATCACCTTCCTACTTGCACATTTGATCTGTCTGAATCTCGAAAGCCAGTACTACAGTACGGTCACTTGTTGACTTGGCAAGGATTTTTCACGTCAGTCAAGGTACAGCCACACCACAAGGTGGCAGTATTTCCTGAATTGGAACCAGTCTCTTATGATTAAGTAATCATTGTGAGAGCTGAATCTGATTTGAAAGGCTTATAGGGTGAGGCGTTGTTTACTGCGATTTGGTCATTTTACGTAGCCCAGGCTTTCTGCTGGGAAAATACACTGTTTATTAACAGGCGGGAGGAAAAAAAAAGATCTAGTGCATTTTTAATTGATTACTGAACTCATAACTGATTTTTTAGAATGAGTTGGCGATACCATACTACTAAAATATGTTTTAAAAGTCTTATAATGATTACTCAGTGTAGTATGTTTATTTGTAGAGCTGAAGTTTTTCTTCTAGAAATAAGGTCTTCACTCAGTTTGCTCATGACAGAACTTTTAAGATTTAAAAAATCTGGTTCTATATTGTATGCCCAGTATATACAGGAATGTATACTTATGAATAGTGTTCATTGGCATAGGTTTGATATCTCACTTCTGAGCAATTTCAGAAGAGTGACTAGAACAGTGGGCAAAAGGAATCAGAGAGCTGTTCATGATGAAGAAAATTAAGACAGTTTATAAATGAAAGGCAGGCAGGAACCAGACAGGAAATGTGCCAAACAAGAAAATTATCAGAAATTGACACTAAGACAGCAAACAGTCAGAAGCTCTGTAGCCAGTATAACCCAGAAAAGCAGCCAGGAGCAAAGGAATATACAAATACGAAAGGTCAGGCCAACAGAAGCTCGGGAACCAGACTAGTGGTCTGTAAGCAGACATGGGAAAAGGAGGCACTGAAGGATGTTTTCACTGCTTCCAGTTTGGACAAAAGCAAATGTAAGAACATGTTCATCCATGATCTGCAGATAAGACTAATTAACTTGACTTGAAGGGTGAGTGTGACCTGAGCCAGGACAGACCCCTGATCTGACTCCCGTTTGTTAGTTACTGGATGACCAGCTTTCTAAACTAAGAATATAGACAGGGTTCCTCAAGGTTACGTTACAGATATTCCTAATGGCAGTAAATTCCCAATGACTCGGAAAATAATGTTTAAGTTGTATTGTATGTTGCACACTTAAAACTCTTTTAAGTAATACATAGGATTTGCTTTTTAGGAATCTGAGAACCGGCAAATGATGGAACAGCTCCGAAAAGCCAATGAAGATGCTGAAACCTGGGAAAATAAGGCCCGTCAAACAGAGGCAGATAACAATACCCTCAAACTGGAGCTCATCACTGCAGAGGCAGAGGGTAACAGACTAAAAGAAAAAGTAGATTCCCTTAACAGAGAGGTGGAGCAAGTAAGTTTGGGAAAATGTGCTAGTAGATTCTGCATCATATTTAAAAGAATTTTGTTTGATTTTCCATAAATTAAATATATAAAAACAAGCACTTTTTGCCACTCTGTTGTCCTCTAATCTGTAATGTATCCTACAACCAGAATAACTTTTACCTTTTTTTTTTTAAATTAGGAACAATTTCAAACATACAAAAAAAGTGATACACACACAAGCAGACACACATGCCCACCTCCCAGATTTAAGGATACTAACAGCTTGCCATATTTGCTTCAAATATTTCTTTATTTAAAGAAACAGAACATCACAGGTGCGACTCCTCATCCTTTTTACTCTTTCCTCCTTAATAGTGTGTAACTCCTTTGCGTGTGTTTGTACTTTTTCTACATATCTACAATCCACGAATGATGGACAGCGTTTTGTGTGCTTTACATTTGTGTTTAAGGGATAACATACTATAGATATCTATTTGCAACTTGACTTTTTTGCTGAACATTATAATTTTGAGATTTATCTATATTGATACATGTAATACTACTTCACATATTTTAACAGCTGCATTTATTAATTGTATAAGTATTTTCTTTCTTAATTACCATGTTAAAGGAAATTTAAATTGTTTTCATTCTTTTCTATAGTAAAATGCTGCAACAAGCATTCTTTTACATTTCTGCCTATATACGTGTTTTCTAGGTGTATGCCTGCAAGTAGAATAGCTAGGTCCTAGATACGTACAATTTCAGCTCTTCCAACTATTGTCAAATTGCTCTCTAAAGTAGTGTACTGATCTACTCTCCCACCAGAAATCATGGAGTTACCATTTTCTCAAATATTCACTAATACTTGGTATTAGCAGACTTAATTTTTTTCCATACTTCTTGACTTAATTTGTTTCCCTGGTTGCTAGTGAAATTGAGCTTCTTTTCCTGTTTCTTGACCATTGAGGATTCCTCTTCTGTGAATTTTCTCTTTGTAAACTGTGCCCATTTTTCTATTGGGTTGCTTTTTCTTATTGATTTGTAAGAATTCTCTATATATCCTTGATAATGATCCCTTTAAAGATGTTATGGTTATCTTCTTCTTGTATTTGGCTTGTCTTTCACTTTGTTTCTAACACAAACAGAAGTGTGTAATTCTGATGGAGTCAGAGGTATCATCAGTCTTTTCCTGTGCGGTTTATGCTTTCATGTTTTCTTTAAGAAAGTTTCACTATCTCAATTTTCCTATGTTTTCTTCTACAAGTCTAAACTGTGCGAAATTTTGCCCTTCACATTTAGGTCTTTAATCTGAGATTGATTTTTTATATAGTTTGAATTAGGGGTGTAATTTTATATTTTTGTGTATGGATATTCATCATCCTTTCTTCAGTTAATTATAAATCTAATTTTTTGTATATAAAAAGTTTCCATAAAATCTGCTCCATTGGTCTATTTTTCTTTTAGCTATTATAATTTTACATTGAATCTTGGCTATCTGAGAGGGTTAATGTTCTCCAAAATTATTTTGGCTATACTTGACCCTTATTAAACTCTCTCAAATGAATTTTAGAATCAACTTGTCATGACTTTTTATCTTTCTTATTTTATATGCATTTAAGACTACACATTCTTCTCTGAGTATTTATTTGGCAGCATCCCACAAGTTTTGAGGTAATGCTTTCATTGCCATTCAGTTTTTTTAATTTTAATTGTGCTTTAGGTAAAAGTTTATAGCTCAAGTTAATTTCTCATACAAAAATTTATACACATATTGTTATGTGACACTAGTTGCAATCCCTATAATGTGACAGCACACTCGCCCTTTCTATCCCGGGTTTCCCATATCCATTCAACCAGCTCCTGAACCTCTCTCCCTTCTCATCTTGCTTCTGGACAGGAGCCGCCCATTTGGTCTCATGTATCTGCTTGAACTAAGAAGCACACTCTTCACAAGTATTATTTTATGTTTTATAGTCCACTCTAATCTTTGTCTGAAGAGTGGACTTCAGGAATGGTTTTACTTCTGGGTTAACAGAGCATCTGGGGGCCATGGCTTCGGAGGTTCCTCCGGTCTTAGTCAGATCATTAAGTCTGGTGTTTTTACGTGAATTTGAGTTCTGCTCCACACTGCCATTCAGTTTTAAATATCATCTAATTATATTATGATTTCTTTTTGAGCACTGAAATTTGTTCTGAATGTCCAGTGGATAGAGAATTTGAGGTCATTATCCTGTATTCTTTTTTTCCCCACCACTCGTCTGTCAGTTTGTCGTACTGTGGTGGCTTGCTTTTGGAGGCTATGCTGCCAGTATGTCAAATACCAGCAGGGTCACCTATGGTGGACAAATCTCAGTGGAACTTCTAGGCTAAGATAGACTAGGAAGAAGGACCTGGCAATATACTTCTAAAAAAATTGGCCAGTGAAAACCTTACGAACAGCAGCGGAACATTGTCTGATATAGCGCCGGAAGACGAGCCCTCAGGTTGGAAGGCACTCAGAATACATTTGGGGAAGAGCTGCCTCCTCAAATTAGAGTCGACCTTAATGATGTGGATAGAGTAAAGCTTTTGGGGCCTTCATTTGCTGTGGCATGACTTAAAATGGGAAGAAACAGCTGCAAACAGCCATTCATAATCAGAACGTGGAATGTACGAAGTATGAATCTATGAAAATTGGAAGTCACTCAAAAATGAAATAGAACGCTTAAAGATTGATATCATAGGCATTAGTGAGCTGAAATGGACTGGTATTAATGATTTTAAATGGGACAATCATATGGTCTACTATGCAGGGAATGACAAATTGAAGAGGAATGGTGTCACATTCATTGTTGAAAAGATACATCCTGAAGTACAACACTGTCAGTGATAGGATAATATCCATATGTCTGCAAGGAAGACCAGTGAATATGACTGTTGTTCAAATTTATGCACCAACCATTAAAGCCAAAGATGAAGACATTGAAGATTTTTACCAACTTCTGCAGTCTGAAATTGATCAAACATGCAGTCAAGATGCATTGATAATTATTGGTGATTGGAATGCAAAAATTGGAAACAAAGAAGAAGGATCGGTAGTAGAAAAGTATAGCCTTGGTGATAGAAATGATGCTGGAGATCGCATGATAGAATTTTTCAAGACCAACAACTTCGTCATTGGAAATACCTTTCTTCAACAACATAAATGGTGACTGTACATGTGGACTTTGCCAGATGGAATACACAGGAAATCAAATTGACTACATTGTGGAAAGAGACAATGGAGAAACTCAATATCATCAGTCAGAACAAGGCCAGGGGCCGACTGTGGAACATACCATCAATTGCTCATATACAAATTCAAGTTGAAGCTGAAGAAAATTAAAACAAGTCCACGAGAGCCAAAGTACAACCTTGAATATATCCCACCTTAATTTAGAAACCATCTCAAGAATAGATTTGATGCATTGAACACTAATGACTGAAGACCAGATGAGTTGTGGGATGACATCGAGGACATCATCCATGAAGAAAGCAAAAGGTCATTAAAAAGACAAGAAAGAAAGAAAAGACCAAAAGGGATGTCAGAAGAGACTCTGAAACTTGCTCTTGAATTTCGAGTCGGTAAAGGGAATGGAAGAAACGATGAAGTAAAAGACCTGAACATAACATTCCAAAGGGTGGCTTGAGAAGACAGTAAATATTAAAATGAAATGTGCAAAGACCTGGAGTTAGAAAAGCCAAAGGGAAGAACATGCTCAACATTTTTTCAAGCAGAAAGAACTGAAGAAAAAATTCAAGTCTTGAGTTGCAATATTGAAGGATTCTATGACCAAGATATTGAATGACACAGAAAACATCAAAAGAAGATGGAAAGAATACACAGAGTCACTGTACCAAAAAGAATTGGTAGACATTCAGCCAGTTCAGGAGGTAGCATATGATCAAGAACAATTGTACTGAAGGAAGAAGTCCAAGCTGCACTGAAGGCATTGGCAAAAAACAAGGCTCCAGGAAATGACAGAATACCAACTGAGATGTTCCAACAAATGGATGCAGTGCTCACTTGTCTATGCCAAGAAATCTGGAAGACAGCTACCTGGCCAACCGACTGGAAGAGATCCATATTTATGCCTGTTCCCAAGAAAGTGATCCAACTGAATGCGGAAATTGAGATGTTTCAACCAACAGATACAATGCTGGAGGTGCTCACTCGTCAGTGCCAATAAATTTGGAAGACAGCTACCTGGTTAACTTCCCAGAAGAGATCCAAATTTGTGCCTATTCCAAAGGAAGGTGATCCAGCAGAATGTGGAAATTATCAAACAATATCATTAATATCACACACAGGTAAAATTTTGTTGAAGATCATTCAAAAATGGTTGCATCAGTACATTGACTGGGAACTGCCAGAAATTCAAGCTGGATTCAGAAGAGGACATGGGATGAGGGATATCATTGCTGATGTCAGATAAATCTTGACTGAAATCAGAGAATACCAGCAAGATGTTTACCTGTGTTTTATTGACTATGCAAAGGCATTTGACTGTGTGGATCCTAACAAATTATGGATAACATTAGGAAGAACGGGAATTCCGGAATACTTAATTGTGCTCATGTGGTACCTGTACATAGACCAAGAGATAGTCATTTGAACAGAACAAGGGGATGCTGGGTGGTTTAAAATCAGGAATGGTGTGCATCAGGGTTGTATCCTTTCACCATACTTATTCAGTCTGTATGCTGAGCAAATAATCCGATAAACTGGACTACATGAAAAAGAACGTGGCGTCAGGATTGGAGGAAGACTCATTAACAACCTGCAATATGCAGATGACACAGCCTGCTTGCTAAAAGCGAAGAGGACTTGAAGCACTTACTGAAGAAGACCCAAGAGTACAGCCTTCAGTATGGATTTACACTTGAACGTAAAGAAAACAAAAATCCTCACAACTGGACCAATAAGCAACATCATGATAAATGGAGAAAATATTGACGTTGTCAAGGATTTCATTTTACTTGGATCCGCAATCAACACCCATGGAAGCAGCAGCCAAGAAATCAAACTATGCATTGCATTGGGCAAATCTGCTGCAAAAGACCTGTTTAAAGTGTTAAAAAGCAAAGATGTCACCTTGAGGACTAAGATGCGCCTGACCCAAGCCATGAATGAGGAAGATCGAAGAAAAATTGATGCATTTGAATTACGATGTTGGCAAAGAATATTGAACATGTCATGGACTGCCAGAAGAACAAACAAATCTGTCTTGGCAGAGGTACAGCCAGAATGCTCCTTAGAAGTGAGGATGGTGAGACGTGGTCTCACATACTTTAGACATGTTATCAGGAGGGACTAGTCCCTGGAGAAGGACATCATGCTTGGCAAAGTGGAGAGTCAGTGAAAAAGAGGAAGACTCTCAACCAGGTGGATTGACACAGTAGGTGCAACAATGGGCTTAAACATAGCAATGATTGTGAGGTTGCTATGAGTCAGAACCAACTTGAGGACACCTAACAATAACCTATATGTGTATGTGTGTGTGCGCAGATATATGCATATACATATATATGTATATATATATATGGCGCTCTGGTGGTACGGTGGTTAAGAGCTTGACTGTGAACTAAAAGGTCAGCGGTTGGAATCCACAGTCTGCTGCTTGGAAACCGTATGGGGCAGTTCTCCTCTATCCTATAGGGTCACCATGGGTCTTAATCGACTTGACGGAAACGAGTTTGTTTTTTGTTTTCGGTTGTGTGTGTGTGTGTGTTTGTGTCAGTGTATGCTTAATTTATGCTTACCCACAGTCTTTCCCCCTAGAGATATTAGTAGGTGCTAGAGAATTATCAGTCCTCATTTTATGGTATTAAGATTGATATAAAAGGTGAGTGTTGTTGGAGGGGCTGCGGGGAGATGGGAACTCTTATGCACTGCTGGTGGGAATGCAAAACGATACAACCATTTTGGAAAATGATAATGGCGTTTCCTCAGAAAACTAGAAATAGACAAACCATTCGATCCAGCAATCCCACTCCTAGGAATATATCCTAGAGAAATAAGAGTCGTCACTCGAATAGACATATGCACACCTATGTTCATGGC